ACCTTTAAACCGAAGTATGGAATTACATTATGTCCTGGAGGACAGGGTTTTACCGGGACAATTGCACAGAGGGTGTAGAATCTACACCGTAGTTGAATATAGTAACAGTGATCCCGGTTGTTCGCAGTTAGACAGAATATGGTAAAAGGATCGCTGTAGAAGCTGCCGCGCCATGGGTCCGTTTAATCGGGGATTCAAGAAGATTTCTCTATCTAGCACAGTCTCCCCCCATGGTGCTGCTCAAGATTGCTCGGTCTCACAGATTGGGCATACAAGAGGTTTAACAGTGACCGCTAACGATCACGCCCCTAATTTCCGATTGGTAGAATAAGTGGATTAATCGGGTGTAATGGCTCCCAATGTTTCCGGATCACTGGATCCTGGCAGATGGCACCAAGGATTGGCAATTACCGTAATACCTTTGCAGCTGGCAAGGTAACATTTATGTCCTTTATCATGATGTATTGCCTCCGTTCTTGATCCCCTGAACTTTTCCTCGGGTTTTCATTGGAACCTATCACAAGTTTTCTTCCTCGCAGTTAGACACCAGTCCTTTCCGATTCCTAATTAACAGTGTCCACGAGAGCAACTTTTGTGGAGACGCCAGCTGCAAAAAATAGTAACACGGATTAGAGGTTCGCGTTACATTTTCCCGATTTATAATTAACTGTTGTCTCTTCCGACAAGCGTCTCCGCGTTTATGGGAGATTCCCGGTGGTCGAGCAACTTCGCCGGAAACGAAACAACGGTTCTACTTCGCGAGACTTCGGATTAAAGGTTAAAATAGTGGTCTACCCCCGAATGTTTCTGCAACAATACGTTCACAATGCGACGCCGTTCGCCTGTTAACCGGGCGATTATTCGACCATAAGCGCCTGTATAGACGTAATTATCGACGAATAAAAACAATCCGATGAATATTACGCTGCGATTTGTGCAGATACAATATATATATATATATAGTTTATACTATTACAGATATTATATGTTACAGTTGACTACAAGATTAATTAGATAAATAAATGGAACAGTAAAGATCGGCCGCGAGGGCGGCGCAGATTACCCCGACGAGTTAACTCGTCCTCCCCGGTTAACAGATCGAACGTCTCTCGCTTTCTTTTCATGATTTCTCCTGCCTCCCCCAGGTCCCCCGTCCTTCCCTGTCCCCCCCTATCCGCGTTATCATTCGTGCAACCCTGCATCAAGGAAGTTATCGAGACAGACAGAGAGGAGAAAGAGAAAAGAGATTATCGTAAACTAACTGCCGATTTCTCGGTAACAATGGCGACGCCCATACATACGAAGTCTGTAATCGAAATGCTTTATATTTTTACACCGAAACAGAAGCAGTATAATAACGTACAATAAACAATAAACAACAATGTCCTTCCATACGCAACCTCAAGATGAAGACAAATGTTAAATTTTTATTTTTACAACAACAGCCCACTATCACTTCCGATATCTGAGCTATACTCGAGCGTATCTCGTAAATAGTTTGAGAACTATCTAAGTAGGATATTTAAAAGGGGGAGAAATGAGAGAAAAGGAGTGTTGGCCGGGGATTCATTTTCAATCGACTCACCAACCACCGATCTACCGATACACAATTTCTATACTTCCGATCGAAAAAGATAATATCCGAGAAAGAAAGAAACGAAAAAAGAAAGAAAGAAAGAAAAACGAGCACGCGCAGTTTGTAAAACGCGATACGACAGTTCGCTGGTGATAAATATCATAATTTTTTCGCTGTCATTCGTTTTTCGCGAGTCGCGCCGATATATTGTAAAACGGAGAAAAAAAACGAACGAACGAAAAGAGAACGAGAGAGAGAGAGAGAGAGAGAGAGAGAGAGAGAGAGAGAGGGAGAAAGGGAAGAAAACGACGAACAAAATCAAACGATCATTTCGAACGGTAAGAGATGGCCAAGATGGCGGCGGAATAGTCAAAAGCGAGGTGTCGCGACTCACACATAGTCTGTCCGGATGCTAATAATGTCACTGTGCTCCCGTCTGTCGTACGATAATTTATATTTCGCGTGATCGAACTCACTCGTGCGAGAATCAAAAGAATGCGTGAAACACCCGATCGGTACCAAAACAAAAACGAAAGGAAAAAAGAAAAAGGAACACGAGTCTCGAATACTGATCCGTTTACTTCGTAAGGAAATAATGTACATATGTAATTTAAGATAGCTGTATATAAAAATATACACATCACCGACACGCGCGACACACGAGTATACTTCTAGACGTATAACGACAGGAAGGTTCGCACAGCGTGCTGTGTCTTGACAAATTCAAAATTCGAATTGTTTCGCGCGAGCGTTATTTATTTCACCCTTCACTTACACGGTTGGTTCCACTTGGTTCACGTTGGCGCTCGTGAATAACGGCGAAAACACCGCCCGTTCTACCCGCTCTTCGTCATTCTGCATTCGCGAGAAACAATCGCACAATTTATTGTCGCCTGTTCAATTGAAAACTGGGCCACGTGACGGGCCCCTCTCATTGGTCCATCTTGTCACGAGGCGGACCCGCCGACGGGTTTACTTCTCAAGTTCAAATTACGCGCCTCGAGGTGCCCATTAACGCTAAATCCAACCCGGCTATTTCAGCTGACTTACTTTATGATTTTTTATATTATATAATATATATAATATATAGATGATTACTATATAATTTTTTATATTATATACTATATATAATATATAGATGATTACTGTATGATTTTTTTATATTATATACTATATATAATATATAAATGATTACTATATGATTTTTTATATTATATACTATATATAATATATAGATGATTACTGTATGATTTTTTATATTATATACTATATATAATATATAGATGATTACTATATGATTTTTTATATTATGAACATGGTTTCGTGGACAACGATCGAATAAATTTCATTTTCCCAGTACATTTCATAGTAAAATATGCGCAACCATTGCATTCATTATTTCCGAAGGGAGTATAATAATAATTGAACATTACTATCGTTTCGTTAGATCGATCCGATGTAAATCAGATTCTCAAAATGTAACAAGTTTTCGTTTACAACGACTGACTTGAGGTTAATACCGTATTTAACGGGGAGATTATCGTGTCCCCGAGATATACGTACCAAAATACGTCCATAAAGGAACAGATAAACGGGACTGCAGACGGATTTTTAGATATCGGGGCAATTCTCATAGAAAAGTTCGCCATTCGGTGGTTCGCTTATGTGTCGCCAACTGTTTGGGTTCGGGAAGGGCCGTAGTTCACAATACCTTTACAATGGCGTTTGGAATTAGAAACAGCACGCATGACAACCTTCCATGTAACAGCATCGATGGCCAATTAGAGACACGCTAATCACAGTTCGGGATCTAGATTTGAAAAATGGCGGTCGGTTAATTGGCGGTCGATGTTGGTCATCGAAATCCAAGGTCCGTTATGGGAATCACGGGCCGCGAATTACATACGAAAACTATTTCCGTTTCTAACCTGTTGGGCAAGTTTCGATATTATTCCCCCCCGGGGAACGGATTCGAATGAGACATACGAATAGTTGCCCGAGTTTCTTAAACCATGAATGTACGTAATACCTCAGAGACATTACGATAACGATACGTAAATTAACGAAAGAATTTTGTGATCCGCGGTGTATCGTAGATTATTGCCGAGACAAGTGGTAATTTCATACGACAAATAATGAAATATATACGAACGCGAATATTTATGTACGTCGACGCGAAAACAAATATTCGAGCCCACACGGCAGCACACCGCAAAACTTTCGTTCTGTGCCCGTTTCTACACGTTTCCGTCATCGCGCGAACCTATCGATAGGTATCGATCTATCCGATTTTTCGCGCGCCGTGCGATTTCATTCGATATAATTGCCGTTGCTGCTATATATATATCGATCTTCGAATTCGAATTTGTTCGTAGATGTAACAAAGACTTTTGTATTATGATTCCGGGGAAAGAAAAAAAGAAAAAAGAAACAAAAGAAGATGGTAACGGAAGAACGTTTTCTAAAATTAATTAAGGAGACCATCGACGAGCATTAAGAAATCAAATGATAGTTTATGTTTTTAAATGACAGCCTCGAGAGTATGTCGTAAGGAAAAACCGTACCGACCTGTACGTGAAAGTATACGTATCCGACAAGGGAACTTTAATCTTTCGATATATCGCGCGAGAATACGTATCGGGGGAATTTTCTTCGAGGGCGCAATCGTTTCTCGCACGTTTTTCAAAGGTTTTAACGTATTTTACGTGGTCACGTGGCGGACGAACGAGGGAACGGCGCGAAAATCAAAATTCTACGGGTCGAAATTCATATTTTTCACGGCTGTAAACCACGGAATCGCGTCGTGGACAAATAGAGAACACGTTGGAAATCGGTCGAGGAAGGTTCCCCCGTGAGGTAGGAGACGCGTATTTAAATAAAGGGTTTTTAATACTTCAAGTTTTATCGCAATTTTCATCGAAGTCATTTCAAATGCGAAGACAGTCTTTTTCGTCTCGAAGTTGACACTACTTATTTTAACGCGCATCGAATGCTAGGACTGTGTTCGTATTACGATAGTTGTTAGCGGATGAACGTTTCTCGGTCGCTGGAAACAGAAGTAAAAAAAAAAGAAAGAAAAGAAAAAGAAGAATAATCACGGAGGATCGAATTTTTGCGCGAAGAGAGAAAAAGAGTACACGATCGTACACGCTTACTGGGAAACATGTATATGTATTTCAAGACGTCTTTATGCAAAATTGATGAATGTTTTACGTGTACTAAAATGTTCCCTTTTAATCCTATTAAGACTTACAAAATATAAGTATTATACTTTACTTGTATATATACATATGTGATAAAAAATATATATATATACACCTGGTTTTTCATGTCATATTTATATTGTATCCTTGCTATTTCTTAATGTGAACGTAGTCGAATCAATGAGTATGTATATTGTTTATTAAAAAAAAAAAGGCACACATCAAACGTATTCACTTTTATTTCGCAAGATTATCAATTCAGTTCATTCACACGCTCTCGCAAAAATTTCCTAATTTATGCCAACACAACGATGCACCGATATTGTAATATAAGTTACAATACATTCTCGTGTATGTACTTTGGTATTAACGTGCGTTTTGCATTAAGTCCACGTTAATAAAAGTTTTAACAAATCCTTTCCATTCTGAACAATTACACCGTTACATTTATAAACGATATTTTTTTAAATTATATATTCTTGTGTACAAACTTCACTCACATTTACAAAAATCAAACGTCAGATATATAAAATAGGAAAGTACATTTTAAGTCAAACAAAAAAAAAAAAATTGATACAATTTATACTGTGTACATATATATATGTCTTCTGTATATTATTACCTTAAAATTATATTGTTAAATCATTGAGATCAGAAAATATAATTCAATTTTTATGTTTCCCCAAAGATGCACTTCTGTGGATAAATAATAATTTACGATCACATCGCAACATTGCCCTGCAACAAAAAAGCTGGCTACGTGTCATTCGACGGTATCACATTCAGTTCGGAAGCTGTACTGATACTTGGCAGGGTGCTATCGCTCCAATCAGGATGAGGATAACTCCTTGGAGGACTTGGTATGTTCACCGGCATTCTACTTTGCACTCTGATGTCATGGAAGATGTTATGAAACTGCTCCGATATACTAGAACCTATCGGATTATTATCTAAATTACTTTTTAATTTACTGGAAGCATCGATTAAGCTGGATTTTTTGCCGAGACTCTGTTTCTCTTGTAGTTCCAAAGTTCTTTGAATTTTCGGTTCATTTTCTGCGTGTATTCTTGTCTCGAAAAGCTTTTCCGGAGGCGAACTTAAAGTCTTGAAATTACGCAAGTTATCGCTCCTTTTCTGAACCAACGTAAACTCCCCTTTTCCTTTGTTAACTGAAAATATATTTATATTTTCTTACATTGAATAGTCACTTTTAAAGAATTGAAAATGATCTTCATATGTGACCACCTTGACCACCACCTTAACTGACTATTGTACCTGATTGATTATTTTCCGTACAACCAAGATCTTTGTAAGACGGCAACAGCGTGAGCGAGGATTCTCCACAAGGTAAGCTAACAAATTCCAAGTTAGCAGAGTCTTTAGTTTGATATTCCTTGTTTGCCTTTGTCCGCTTCTTTTCCAAATTCCCGATTATATTCTCAGAAACAGTTGTGACCTTTTCTGGCTTTCGTATAAATCTTCGATGATCCATATTTTTGGAAGGTTCCTGGCCTACGATCGACAATGACACGTCAGAAATTTCGTGGCAAGAAGTACGTATGTTCGATTCACGGGACGACGAAGAAGTTGGCGAAGAACACGCGAGACCTCCATGTACCAATGAAATCATAGGATTGTTATCTTCATGAACATATATATTCAAGTTGCACAGTTGATCAGAAATTTGATTTTGCAACTCCCTAGAAATTTTAAAACATTATTCTCCATTTGAAGTTATTGATATACGTTGTAGCTTATGGTGTTCAACTAACTTAATAGAATTCCGAAGTTCGGTTAAAAGTGTATCCTTGTACGAACATAATACCGACAGTTTGTCCTTCTCGAGAGTTAAATATTGCACCTCTAAATGCCTCTGCCTCGCAAGTTCTGTCTGCTCAGCAATACTCGTTCTTAAATCTGCTATTGTCTTTTCCCTTGCCCGCGCTACTTTTATTCCATCCTCTAAGTCATTCCCCAGTGCTTTTATAGTCGTTTCTAAATGTAATTGTCTTTCCTGAGCTTTGTTTATCAATACATTTTGTTTTTGAACTTGCCTGTTTAAAATAAAATACTTTTCAATTTTCTACGTTCGACAACACTAAGTTCTAGACATTTTTTAAATCTACCGTTGTAAAGAGTCACGCTCTTCTCGCAATGTTTCGCATGTGGTGTTCATTTTTCTGCTTGTTTCTTCCAATTGAAGTGTAGTTTCTTCTAATTTCGAGCGTAGTGCTATTGCTTCTGGATCCTAGAAGTTAATATTTTTATAATGTACAGTCGATAAATACAGCTTTCTACAAGTCTCCAATAAACATACCATGGCAATTGACTTCCCAAATTCTTCTGATATTCTAAGCAACAGTTGCTCCATATTACTTAAAATCTTACTGGCTTTCTCACCTTTGACCAAGTGCTCTAATTCTTTCATTAAGAACCCTAAGATACGTACTGGATTGAATGTTTTATATCTGTCATCAATAGAATCAAAAATTCCGCCGCATTGTACACCTTTATCTAAAACTAAGATAGAGTTCACAGAGCTTGATAACGATGTGGTAGATGGATGTGCTGTATGCGGGGTGTTCCTCATCTGCTCTTCTAGTTTCTTTTGAGAGCTTGATTGTCTAACAGGAACCTCATCCAAACGCTTCTGCTAAATACAACGAACAAAGTAATTATCTCACGGTATGTGTACTCTACAAGATATGAAAAGTGTGTATACTAACGTCATGCCTTTGACAATTTAAAGATTGCTTCTTTGAATCTTTAGAATCGGATCTATTCTTTATTGGTTTTGGAGCAGATGTCCTTTCTGTAAAATGTTGCAAGGTTTGTTTCATAGTTGCACGGTTCTGTTTCCTAAAAATTCTGGCCCAGTTTTGGTGAGGATCACCGCTACTTCCAGGTTTTCTTTTTTCCTCTATACCCTTCTGACTAGTGGGACTACTGCTGACCATGGTGGATGTACGCTTACGTCCCTTTGTTTTGACAGTGACTTCAATCAAGGTATTATAATTATCATACACAACCAGACCACCTGCAGGTACTTCGGATGTAGGCTAGAAACAAGTAAATATACGTCATCTTTACACAATAGTAATTTTACGCACCATCATACTTCCAAAATATGCGTTACCGAAAGTTGCTTGTTCTCAACAGAATATTTGCCGGACTTAATGGCGACAGTTTTGCATGCAGCGTTTGTCTTACTGCTCATTATGCTGAAACATTTAAAAAAACAATTTCATTTACTCGCAATCAGTTCGAAAATCGACGAATTTTCGACCGTTAGGATCCATCTAACCTGACACTCGATTCAACTCACGTCCATCGTGCACTAGAAAACTCACCGTAGTGTGCTGTGGTGTTTGTCAGTATATTTCCTCTGACGCTACATTGTCATGCATGTTAAATAATTTAGCATAATCACTTTGTCCTGATAATGCGTGGTAAATTGTTAATTAGTGACGGGAATAAACAAACACGTACACATATAATGTGTAGTGTTTAACTTCAAAACATTATTTATTTAGTAAATAGTGTAAATTCTATGTTAATTTCGAAATATTAATTTTCACCTTATCACGTGTGGAATCGTGTTAAGTTCCTTTCTTTCTTTCTCTTTTACATTATGATTAAAATAATCGAACGCAGTCTTTACAAATAAATTGTTGTTTATATTTATTACAAGTATAGCACATTTTCATTTTATGATATAATTTCATTTATAAATTATCATACATGGTTTTGTGAGATTTGAACCATTAATTTTAGCCATTCGCTCTTACAATATAAAAGTGTAAATATACAAAATCTTAAGCCTAAATAAACTATCATACAACTGTATATAACATTCTGCTATTTATTAAAATTATATTGTATATTGCAATTCTGGTATATAATTTACATATACTACATTATTTATCGTGTTTCGACAATAGATTATAAATATCGCTTCTATGCTCGCCTAAAATACTGTAAAATTTCTCG